GACACCTTCATCACTCTCATAATAGTGTCAGTATGGTGTGGCAACTGCATGACTCTCATAATAGTGTCAGTATGGTGTGACACCTTCATGACTCATAATAGTGTCAGTATGGTGTGACACCTTCATCACTTTCATAATAGTGTCAGTATGGTGTAACACCTTCATCACTCATAATAGTGTCAGTATGGTGTGATGCCTGCATGACTCTCACAATAGTGTCAGTATGGTGTGACACCATCACTCATAATAGTTTCAGTATGGTGTGACACCTTCATCACTCTCATAGTGTCAGTATGGTGTGACACCATCACTCTCATAAGTGTCAGCATGGTGTGACACCATCACTCATAGTGTCAGTATGGTGTGACACCTTCATCACTCTCATAATAGTCAGTATGGTGTGACACCTTGATCACTCTCATAATAGTGTCAGTATGGTGTGACACCATCACTCTCATAATAGTTTCAGTATGGTGTGACACCATCACTCTCATAATAGTGTCAGCATGGTGTGACACCATCACTCATAATAGTGTCAGTATGGTGTGACACCTTCATCACTCTCATAATAGTGTCAGTATGGTGTGACACCTTGATCACTCTCATAATAGTGTCAGTATGGTGTGACACCATCACTCATAATAGTTTCAGTATGGTGTGACACCATCACTCATAATAGTGTCAGCATGGTGTGACACCATCACTCATAATAGTGTCAGTATGGTGTGACACCTTCACTCTCATAATAGTGTCAGTATGGTGTGACACCTTGATCACTCTCATAATAGTGTAGGCCAGGAAGAGGTAATTTTTGTTCATTATTGAGTTTTGTGTTTGCCTCGCAGTTTTGTTCTAAATATAGAATAGCTCTTGGGCTCTGTTTTAGAACTTGTGTATCAAACTAAAATGAAGCCCGGTGCTTCATTGTAATTATGCAGTGTAACTCACTATTTGGCAGTTTTAAAATACTATTTTTGGGGGGGGAGGGGAAAGGGAGGGGGGTTTTGTACTGAGTCTAATGCAACAATGACCAACTAGCGGAGCAACACCCAACTTATATAAGCCTTTTCTTTGATGCTAAATGATATTCAGGATAGATTCAAACCAAACGAAGATTAAGCTTTTTTTTTGAGATATATTTATTTATTTTTGACAACCACCTAAAGATAATCCTACAAACTGGCGGGCGGAACCTTAAGACAATATCTCGACATCCATTTTCGGTTCATTTTTTTCTTGGAGATTAGTTTTTGTTTTATTTTTTTAAGTCCGGTCTTAGATATAATATTTAGTCTAAAATCTAGGGATATTTATCTTGGTTCAGCCGGATACTGTATGGATGCTTGATCTTGGCTAGTTACTGAAAACTGATTGTATACAATAAATAATGTTACATTTTTAGTTTTTAGTTAAATTTTGAGGAGTTCCATTATTTCAATATCTGGTATACTAAATATATATATATTAATATATATATATATATATATATATTATATATATATAAAATATATATATATATAAATTATTACAGGGAAGGCCCCGCTTACGGCGTTTCACTTTTACGGCGTTCCGCTAAACGGATTTGAAATTATGACCAAAACTCGCTATAAGGCTCCCCCACCTGACTTTCTAATACGGTCACCGTGCCCCACCCTGTTTGTTTACATTCTCCATGAGCTCAGTAAGCCTAAGTCTCTCCATTTTGTCTAAAAAACCATCCAAAATTTCAAATGTTTTTAAAAGTTATTTCATATTTTTTTATATACCTTATATTTTTTTAAATGTTATGTATAACCTGTACCTAAAAAACTTACATACTGGCTGCATCAGGTACACTAATAAATTGTAAGTGTCTTATGTTCACAGACTCCATATTAGTAATGATAATAATAATCATCGAGTCATTTAAATGTCGTATATTACGTTAATATACACATTTCATTAATCCATCCATGATATTTTTTCAAAATTATATAATAAACACGATGCATAACATATAAATAAGATAAATACACCCCACAGTAGAATAAATAAAACATAAATGTGAGATGTGGTAGCAGACGACTTGCACAAGTGACCCATATTAGGGAAAAGTTAAATAATAATAACAATACTCACCGAGTCTCATTAAATGTGTATATTACGGTAATATACAAATTTTCATTAATCCATCCATATATTTTTTTTCAAAAATATATAATAACACGAAAGAATAAATATAAATAGAATAAATAACCCACATTAGATAATAAACATAAATGTGAATGTGGTAGCAGACACTTTGCATAATGACATATTAAAATGTAATAATAATAATAAAATATCACCGTCTCATTAATGTCGTATATTTACGGTATATACACATCATTAATCCATCCATGAATTTTTTCAAAATTAATAAAACACGAAAATAACATAAAAAGATGATAAATACACCCCACAATAGAATATTAACAAAGATCTTAAATATAAGATGTGGACACCACAAAAACTTGTACAAATTGTCGACTCATGAATAACATTTTTCTCTAATCCCAACATTAAGATAAATGTGTTACTTGGGTAACTGTAGAAAATTATTCCTTTCGTATGTAGTAAGTAAGTAATTTATTCAGGTATACACAAATAAGTTACATGATTATATACATAACAACATACTGTAGGAACCTAGGATAACCCAAAAAAGTCAGTGTGACTTATTTCATGCTTCACTCGAAGCTTCATTTCTTCTCAAAATGAGTTTACATGAGAATGGAGTGTTCTTCTTATTAATTCTACCGTATCAATGTAAAAGACAACCTGTAACAATGTAACTTGTACACAAACCAGACGTGTAACACTTTGTTTGTTTACAAAACTTACGTTCGCCTGGTTTGTTTACATAACTCTGCGCCTGTCCCCTCTCATGTACTCATTCTTTCTCTCTCTCATTTATTCGTTTTATCTCATTTACTTACTCCTGACCCTACATTAAGACTACAAATATTTTAAGGTAAGTAATGAGTGAACTGTTATATACATTTTATCGCTCTGGGATGCTTAAATATCATAGAATAGTATGTGTGGGTGGGGTGGCCTGGTATGTGCCTGGCTGACACCATACATACCACACTTGATTTCTTACAATAAATACTACTTGTCTCACCTAGATTAAGACTATAAATATTTAAGGTAAGTAATGAGTGCACTATGTGTGTATTATACTTTTTTATTGTTTTTTTATGCCTGGTTCTATTGCTAACTTAATATATGTTAGTGTAAACTTGTTATCTAGTGTTTGTATGCATTTATAAGTGGAAAAAAAGGGTGTTCCACTTTACGGCGGTAGCCTGGAACCTAACCTGCCGTATAAGTGGGGCCCTCCTGTATATGTATATATATACTATGTAAATTAAAAATATATATATATATATATATTTATATATATAATATATATATATATATATAAAATATATATATTATATATATATATATTTAAAATTATGTGAGCAAATCACCCTGCAGAAGGCTTACAGGGCATTACCTGGATAATATATTACCTGCAAGTAATTTGGGTGAGGTAAGTGGGACAGTAGGTCACTGAGCTGTAACTCCCTCATTTTCCCCACTCTCTACCACTCTTGTGATGTAGTCCAGCTGGGCTTGTGAGGTCTCTGGGGAGACCTAATTTAACCAATTATATGGTCACACCTTGCCTTGGCAAACGTCTGTAGCCACGCCCACGTCTGAGGTCTTTTGTTCTTGACACCTCAGACCTAGGCATCAGGTCGTACACGTGGTTGTGGAGGGTGCTTGGACCACCATAAAAGCCAAGGAAGAGCTGAGTAGAGAGATTCGTGCGGAGCTGCTGCTGGGGTGCAGAGCTCCTGAGCAGAGACTTCGAGCGGAGCTGCTGCTGGGGTGCAGGGCTCGGGAGAAGGCTGCTGAAGTCTCTGGAGGAGACTGTTGGAGGCAGTGGGCAGAGTACTGGCTTGGCGCAGTACTCGTGCTGTGTAGGTCTTGGGACCTGGGGCTTAGTTCCTGTAGTGAACTGTCCTCTGTACTATTTGTAAGTTACATTCATTTTGGTCAAGTTGATTGTATTTCCCTGTCTCACTGCTTATGTGTACCACCCCATTTATCTAAACCACAATGATGTACTCCTGTTCCCAAATACATTATTGTACAAGGACTTAATAATAAACTGTGTTTGAGTAGAATAGTAATATTCACTGCCCACCGTTATTTATTCTTTTTTCTTATATTTTATTATGTTTATATGAGTGAAGAATGGGCGAGGCATATGTTAGTGAGTAGTGTAGAGTTAATGAGAGTGTCGTGGTGGTCACCACTGACCTGTCATTACCTACCTACCTCCGCTAATCATCTCACTCCTAACACCGCGCCTGCCTCTCCCCTGCCTACATAATCCCTTACTCCCATATCCCCCACTTATATAAGATTCTTTCATTACCCCCCTACCTGACACTCTCACAAAAAGCTAGACCTGACATTAAGTTAATTATAATATTAAAACCAGCTTCTCGGGTAAGCTAAAGTTGTGAAAACTGAGACACATGTGCAACATCTGGGTATCTTTATTGTAAAGATACCCAGATGTTGCACATGTGTCTCAGTTTTCATCATGTTGGTATTATATACCATTCTTGTACAAATTAAAGTTGTGGACTGTATATGATTAGGCTTGCTGGGTACACAAAATATACGTGTGTATATATATATCTATATATATATATATATATTATATATATATATATATATATATATATATATATATATTATATATATATATATATATATATATATATATATAATATAATATATATATATATAAAATCCATACTGAAATGAGTGATATACATGTAGTTTCAGACTGAGTAGTTAAGATTCTGGTATATTGCGATGACACTATTTTGTTATCGTTTTACTCTAGTAAAATGATCAGTGCTCTTTTATGAGAAAAATAAAGTTAATTGTATACAATATTTTGTAATTTTCAGGTTATGATGCAGACACCACAGCGCTCCGGATGCCAGATGTGTCACATCCAAGGGTAAGCCTTGGCCTTGATTTTTGTTAGATATACAGCAACTCTGGATATATACACCGAGAGGTGTCTGTCTCATTGTATACATGCTGAGAGTTTATCTCAATCTCCATTTTAGGGATTAAAGTATTCTCGATTGGGGGTTAACAGGATGCTTGTGAATGGTGGCCTGGCAATTAGACATGAGGATGATTAGTTACTGATTCATAATGATGATGCTCTCACCATTTGTAGTTGCAGGGGTTGAATCTCAGCTCCTGGCTCCATCTCTACTGGCAACTGCTGGGTTCACTCTAGACTGTGTGAGCCCTGCTATACCTATTCTTAAAGATATGTATGGCTCCTGCCTCTACCACTTTGCTGTCTAGGTCATTTCATTTCCTGACCTTTCCAAGGTTAAAGAAGAATTTCCTAACCTCTTAGTGACTTGCCCGTCTTTTTTTAACTTACAGGTGTGCCCTCGTGTACCCGAGACCTGTCTCTCAAACAGATTTGCTCTCTCCACCTTGTCAACTCATCTATGTATTTTGCATGTAATCATGTCACATCTGGCCCTTTTGTCCTTTATTATTGTCAGGTTGAACTCCTTTAATCTCTCCTCACAGCTTGTGCCCTCAGCTCTGGGATTATTTTCATTGCAAGCATTTACAATTTTTCCAGCTTATCAGCATTCTTTATCAGATGCAGGTTCCTTATGGTTCTGCATACTCAAAATGGGCCCAACATATGCCATGTATGAGGTCAGGGCTGTCTCATTGTTGAGCTTCCTGAAAGCTGCTCTTAAATTTACCAGTCTTGCTTTTGCTGCAACCATTATTCAGTTATGTGCCTCAGGAGAAATACCCAGAAGTATGATCACCCTGAGGTCCTTTGCTTTCAGAAAGGTTTGCAGCCTTTGTCTTCCAAGCCTGTACACTATTTCCAGTTTTCTTTGCCCTTCAATTTTCATAACTTTGCACTTGTTTTTGTTGAATTCTGAAAGCCACCTTTTTGGTCAATCATGCAGCTTGTCCAGAGCTATTTGTAGTTTTTCATGATCTGCTTCTCTTTGTATTATCATTAGTTTTATGTCATGTGAGCAGGGATGCCTCTGTTTTGCCTTCTTCTCTTATGTCATTTACATACACAAGAAACAATACTGGCTCAAGGACTGACCTTTGTGGAACCCTGCTCGTTACACTCGCTTATCCCAACATCTGGACAGTAATTTGTTTTACCTTCTACTAAGTATTCTTTCAGTTGATGTAATGCTTTCTCTGTTTTTCTATCCTGTTCCTCTAGCTTTTGTCTCAGGTTCTTGTGAGGTACTGTATCAGACAGTACTAAAAATAAACGGTTCATCCATCCCTCTCTCCTGTCTAATTTTTGTTACCTCGTCATATAACTCCAGCTGGTTGTTGTTTACGAATCCATTCTTTTCTTGGTGCTCTTCTACTCTCCTGATAATCTTCTCTATAACCTTACATGCTGTGCATGTCAGTATCACTGGCCTGTGGTTTGGGGCTGCCTGTCTGTCCCCTTTTCTAAATATTAAGACTACATTTGCTGTTTTCCAGACTTCAGGCAGCTGCTCTGTCTCAGTTGGCTTATTGAAGTCATTGCTAGTGGTTCACACATTTCTTCTGCTTCCTTTCTCAAGGAGATAGTGATGTTGTAAGGTCCCATTGCCTTTGAGGTATCTAGCTCACCCAGTAGTTTCTTCACCTCACCTCCCATTGTGTATAGTGTGTCCAGAACTCACTGGTGCACTCTCCCTCTTCAACACAGGAAATGTTCCTGATTCCATTGAGAATACTTCCTTAAATCTTTTGCTCAACTCGTGGCAGACTTCCTGATCATTCAGAGGCAACTCCCTTCCTTCCTCAAACATATTGTTTATGAGGGAGGAGGGTAGTTTTGCTCTGCTGGGATTTAGGCAAGGAAAGGATCCACCTAATGTAATAGGAAACCTATTTTTCCCATTTCTCTTTCTGGAGGAAACTTGCTTATTTTATAATTCTCTCCCATATTTGGGCAATGCATTTTCCTTCACTTTCCCAATGGGTAGGGGTAAATAATGCATAAGCTTTGGTAGCCCTTGACAACCTCAGTCTCTACCCCCACCCCCAAAAAAAAAAAAAAAAACTACCACCAACGAACAACAGCAAACAACAACAAAAACAAAAGTACAGTGGTACCTTGACTGACAAGTGCCCCAACATATGAGTTTTCCGACCTACGAGCCATCGCTCGGTCGATTTTTTGCTCCGAGTTACGAGCCAAAATCCAAGTTATGAGCGAGCTTCAGATACGCCACCACTAGTTGATGCAGTGAACACCACAACATCCACTCAGCCGTGCATGTGTTTACCTAGCTGTGGAAGCATCTCTCTTGTGTTGTGCTTGCATTTTGTGCAGTTATTTTGCCAAATTTATTTTTTCTAACCATGAAAGTAGGTGCATGAAATCATAGAAAAACATGAGCAAGGTGTGCGAGTAGCAGAGTTGGTGAGGTAGTACCAGTGTAGTACTTCTACGATATGTACCATACTAAAGCAGAACAAACTCCTCCAATGAAAAAAATAAAAAACAAATTGTAGCAATTAAGTTCAGTGATAAAGTGTAGCACTAAGAGTGTAACAAGTAAGTTAAGTGATTAAGCGATAGAAAAAGCACGAAACGAAAAGAACTCCTCCAATCTCCTCTGCCTATCTTTGTTGTTGTTGTTGAGGTGTATAGGGCCACTGACAGCATACGCCACTTTGCCTATCTTTTCCACCCTCCACCTCTGCCAGCATCTGTTCTCCAAGGTAAATACGTACATTTTATAAAACCAGTTTATTTCTTTACATTTCTACAGTGGAAGCTTGGCTTATGAACTTAATTTGTTCTGTGACCTTGTTTGTATCCTGATTTGTTCGTATGCTGAGTCAGTTTTCCTCATTTAAATTAATTGAAAAGCCATTAATCCGTTCCGGCGGAATTCCTGCTCTCAGAGGCAGGAAAAATACACTTCAGTATAATGCTAATATCAACTCTATCTCTTATTTATCTATCACAGTTGATCTGATATGACATAATAAACAATATAAATAACATAGAAACCTGATATGTAGTATAGAATGAATAAAATATGTCATTATGTGACAGAGTGGAGGCAGCCATAACTGCTCCCGTATTATTGTGGTATTCACTGCCATCTAGTGACGGCCTTTTGAAGCTGTCTATTATTATAATTATTATTATAGTAGTACATTATTATTATTATACATATTATTATTATATATTATTATTATTATTATTATTATTATTATTATTATTATTATTATAATGGGCAAGTGCTTGTGGGGGGAAGGGGATGGAAGGTATTCAGGCTTAATTTAGGGAACTGGAACACAGATGCAGTTCCCTAGATCAAGAGCCCCTCACCACATATGTACTACTAATAATAATTATTATAACAATAATAATAATAATACAAGGTTAAGTATGCCCGAAATGCCTTGGCATGATGGTGGCTTTCTTTGCTCCAATCATATTATGATACGTAAACACACATTTTAGCCTTTGCAAAGAAATAAACATTTTATTTATTTATTTATTTATTTATTTATTTATTTATTTAAGGAATCTCCCTTGAGGGGGAAGTACGCATCTTGAAATTTCGTTCATATCCAGAAGCAAAAAACTGACCGAATGACGGGTTTGTGTCCTGAAAAGTTAGCATGGTGCAGAGTTCGTAAGCCAAGGTTCCACTCTATTATGTTTTATTATGCTTTTATACAATATTTCTTATTTATAAATACATTGTTTCAGTGTTTTCCTTATGAAACTAGTGATCTAGTGCAGTTAGGCCCACAAACACTCCCTTTTTTTCTTGTAATAAGACCTCAGAAAGGGAAGCATGGGAAGATATGGTCAGAGCGGCAGTTATTTTTACCTTGGGAGTGGCCACCACCACTCATCACATAATGACATATTCATTCTAGAGTATATATCATGTTTCTATGCTATTTATATTGTTTATTTTGTCATGTTAGATCAATTGTGATAGATACATAAGTTGTAGAGTTGATATTAGTGTTATTGGTTTTTGGGGTGTTTTTTTGTGGGGCTGGAATGAATTAATGGCATTTCAGTTAATTTCATTGAAGAAAATTAATTTGATATACTACTAGCAAATTGAGTTACAAGCTAGGTCACGGAATGGATGAAGCTTGTAAGTCAAGGTACCGCTGTATTAGCAAGTACATTGTCTGATAATCTAATGATACTATGTATAGGTTCAGTACATGGACAGTGAATATGCTAATAAAACACGTGACATTATGTGGGTAAACACCAGTATTGACTGACCAAGATCAGTGTATGTAAATGGTTTTGAAAACAAACAAGTTAAAGAATGAGACACTTGTGCAACATTTGGGTATATGGCAAACCATTTCCACAGTAAAGATATCCATATGTTACACTAATGTCTCATTCTTCAACTTGTCAGTTTTGTAAACCATTTATTTAATGAAGTTGAAAATTAGACACATGTGCAACATCTGGGTATCTTTATTGTAGATGTTTTGCCATCCAGTGACTTTATCAGTACAAAGTCAAGGACATAAATGGAAGACAGTAGAACTATGTTCAAAAGATGAGGTAATCAGACTTATTACTTTATCTTTTGTATATAGTTCTACTGTCCTCCTGTTATCTCTTTGAATTTGTATTGATAAAGTCACTGGATGGCAAAACTTAGACAATAAAGATACCCAGATGTTGCACATGTGTCTGATTTTCATCTCAGTATCATATACCATTCATGTACAGTGGAACCTTGGTATTCAAACAGCTCCGTACTTGAACAATTTGGTATTCGAACGCTTTGTTCGGTAAACAAATCGCTTGGTAGTTGACAGTTTGCTCAGCACTCAACCAAACACACATGACCTGCCAGAACTTTGCTGTAAACTATTTTGTGTTTCTTTGCATTTTTTGTATATTTTTTGTGTTAATTGTATAAATAAGTCACCATG